TGGGAAAATTAGAAACATGCACGATTATATTTTCTTTATTACCTGCAGGAGCTGGAAAAAATACCCTACAGAAAAACATTCATTGCTGACAGCAGCAACCTTGTTGAAAGCCTTTTACTCTATCTGTAAATCTTGTACAATTCCTGTGTGCATCAGGACAAAACAAAACTTTATTCAGTCATGCAGTTGCCAAGTGAATCTTGAATTCATGCTTTTGTGTCTCCAAACTTAACACATATTCTAACACTAACACTAATGGACTATTTTGCTTCTTTTTTTTCAGCCTCCCTCTTCTCTGCTTCTTTTCCTTTTCTACACAACTTTATTCTTCAGAGGTTATTGTAGTCTAAAAGAAAAATAAAACTTCTGTTGTTTGAATATCAGAGGGAGGTTTATTAGCATCATATTATGTCTAGCATGAGGAGAGGTTCAGTGGCACTTTTCTTAGCTTCTTGTTCCCTCTTGTTTGCTATTTAAAGAGAAAATACATTAGAAGACTATTCGATTTTCTGCCACTTGAGAATTCAGCAGGAAAAAATACCACAAATAGCCCAGAGAAATGGGAGATAATTTCATGATCATTGTAATCTGGTGCTTTCTATATATGAAGAGCAAAAAATCATAGGAACGCCCCAAACACAAAAGGCAAGTATTTAGATAAAGGGTAATACTTGAATTTCGGATATAATATTTTAAAAATTGAAAGTATGACACAAGAGAAAACACTTCTGAAAAGGTGATTTACTCCTCTATTTTAGTGGTCTTTCCCAAGAATCTGCTGAATAATTGCTATGACTAGTATTATTCTGTACAGTGTTTGTATTTCTCTGAAGAGAAAATTTTTAGGTCATTAATAAAGTTTTGACATCACAGATGTATTTTTTTGTACCATCTTTTCTAAAGGAAGAAGATATTTAAAATTATGCCCAAACTGAGCCTAAAAACAAAAGACATGCAATTAGTATACTCTGTTGGTTGTTTTAGTCTAACTTATATGACTATTTCTGCAATTTCTAAAGTCAGCATCATAAAAACATTATTAAATAAGGGAAACATGCAAGTATTTTAAGTATTTACATGGACTTTTAAAAAAATCATGACACTGTTGGCCATTGTGGCATGAAGTCCAGTCATTATAAATGTGAAATTATCAGATTAAGACATTTATCCAAATGTATTCACACAATACAATGTATCTTCCAAATCTGCTAAAGATACTTGAAATCCATGTATTTCTACACTGTATGTGCTAAGCACAGTCTTCTGCATTGCTGGAAGTATACTTTGTTCTTTAAATTATTCAATTAACTAGCCAATATTTGCTTAATGTTTTGAACTTATAGTATCTCTCAAAACAGCTGAATGCTATTACCAAAAAAGTGTGGGACAGATTTTGCAGGCTGCAGGTAGATGTATCTTTCTACACATTTAAGAATTACCCAACAAGTGTGAAGTTATTTGCATTTGAGTAATAGACTGAGTACAGGTACTTGGCAGGAAATGCTTTTCTGTGAGAATTATGCTTCAAAATTTACAAACTAGTTTATTTATTCCTTCTAGACTCTTTCCCTGGATTTTGTTTCACTGCTTAAAATTCAGGAAAATATTGTTTCATGTTTGGGATAGACTGAATTTTTACAATATTCCTTAACACAGCTGAGGGACAACTGTATTCATCCCAGCAAGCACAGAGAATGTAGAAAACCTGAGCGGCCTGCAAAAGAACCAAAATTAAAATCAGGATTTGTTAGCTCAGGCAGCCCAATTAAAGGACAAACCTAACTTGAAAACTAAAAGCAGTGTACAGAGAGACTAACCAAAACTCCTGCTGGAACAAATCGGTGTCCGGCTGCACGACAGGAACCACAATCTGTAGCGCCCGTGCGTCAGTCCCGTCCCGCCACGCACCACTGCTGCCCCAGGCAGGAGCTGCCTGCAGATGGATCATTCCCTGACCTCTCCAGCATTTCCATGGTGCACTGAAGTCCCCTCCCAATGCTGTCAATGTCACCTACCAGAGACCAACACACACACATGGAGTATATCCTAGCAAATAACAATGCCATCAGGAGCTTCCCCAGTTTGAATTACTTTAGGCCTTCAAAAGAAATAAAGTTACTTTTATAAATGAATGCTTATTGTTTTACTCTAGTAAAGAAGTTGAATTAGGCTCAACTTAATTATATTTGTACATATATTTCCAGTTTGCATTGTCCAAACTCCACATAAAACAACAGCACCACTGAACTTAGAATGATCTCACAAAAGTGAGCTCTCTGCTCACTTCTAGAGGGACTGTTTCAAATACTGTTACTTGACAGACGAGGATGACATGCAGGTTTCCCAGCACAGGAATAATTCCCAAATCTCCTGGGAAAGAGTGAGAAGCGAGGGACATGGATTTACAGCAGCAAGTGGGTAGTCTGACATGCCAGCTTCCTAGCTCTTTTTTTGTTTTTTTTTTTTTTTTTTGTAACAGAAATACAGCTCATAGGCAAAGACTGAGGAACAAAGGAACTTTTTCAAAAGCTCACCATCTCCAAACTTTACGTAATTCTTCACCTAGAATTCAGTAACCAAATTTTACTGAGTATGTGAAAATCTCAAACCAGATCACAAGGGAAAAGCCCAGAACTGGTGAACACCAACCCTCTTCAGAAAATGAAACTCAGGACTTCAGAGTCCATCATGTATTTATCTTTAATTTCTACAGGTTCACATCTTCAGAGTGGTTATTTGATTTGCATATTCTTTCAATTAATAACATAAAAGAGAAGATAAAGAAAGCCTAATCAATTCAGTCCAGCTCATGAACCTTGTTAAGCTTGTGCTTGCCTTACTTCATGTTGAAATGCAATTCGCTTGTTCTAATATTTCATTATCAAAGTCCTTAAGAAACTTGCTCTGAATCCAGCATTTTGATTTAAAACTTATTAAATCCACACTACTGGCTGCCAAAAAGAAACAAAATAAATGTAAGTCATATTGTTCAGATGGTAAAGGCATCCAACCTATCTTAGTAAATATCAATTCTTCTATGTCAACAACAGCAATCAGAACACTGATTTTATGCATCTTCGTGATCACAAAGAGTATCCTAGCAGGACGTTTCAAGGACAGTTATTTCACCCTCTACCTTGGCAAGGTAGATTTTATGGATCACGAGAAGCAAGGGGCCCTTTTCTCCCCTTCTAGTTATCTCCAATAATTATTTACCAGCCAATAAAAAAAAATCGAGAACAGTTATTCTCTCAAATCATAAGTTCAAATGAAATCACATTGAACCTGTGACAAAAGCAAGGAATAAAAATAAGAGAAAACTACTAAACTTGGGGAATGTTTAATTGTATATCACAATATAATCCTGCAGCTGTAGATGGGACATGAGTTCTCCTGAAAACAAGAGGTTTTTTTGGTTGTTTCCTTCAAGCTCCTGACTATTTTACTGAAAATAATATGGCTACTTGAGACATAAGTCTGGATTGCATTATTCCTCTTTCTGGCAATTATACACTGTTCTTCCTGTTTTAGAGAGAACATGAAGTGAGATTAAAGTGAGAGTAGTGATCCACAGAGTACAATACTCCCCATGTTCCCAAAAAACACATTCACATAAGGAGTATAAAATTTGTACTAGCACAATATTTCCTGAAATGTGCTACACCCCACAACTTTTGGGGAAAACTGGTGATTGCATGTAACATTTAATCAAAGATCCACTCTACTGTAAAACACCAATTTCTCTTCAATTTTCCACACAGCAAATCAAAAACTCTTTTGAATGTCAATGCTGGCAATTTTCATGCTGGCTACAACTTGGTGAGAATTTTAAAAAAATCATTAGCATGTTAATAACTTAGTGCCTCTAAGGAATACTTAGTTGGTCCTACACCAGAAAAAAAATATTTTTCAGCCTTATTCATAACTACAATGTAATTATAATTTGCCGCAATTTACTAGTTTACTTCATTTTAATTTGTGGAGGAGGATTTCTCAATGGGCAGCATGCAGTACTGTCATAGTTCTGAGGAGTGCATCTCACTGAGAAATGTTCACACCCATTAAAATGTAGAAAGGAAATCTGAGAACATACACATGCAAAAAGAAAGCAGAAATTTGAGAGAACTGTAAGAAAAAATTACATGGGTAAAATTTAGTTCCCTGTAATAAAATATAGGTGGCTGTTGGTAAGCTTTCTAGAATTTATAATATATTATAATCAAAACAGATTATTCATCACATTTTATCAGTCTTATCAGTATCTCAGTCTTTTTTTATGACCTTAGCAAAGCTTATGATATGAAGAGAAAGAATACTTACAACCATATTTTTGCACAAAAGAATTTTTGTTCATATACCCATTCTCATGTGTGCCCCGTGTCACAAGAAAATGAAAGGCATGTTCATAATAAAAGTTTTGTTATTCCTCAAGTTTGCTATTTTCTGCCATTAAGAAATGCATCACCTAGATTACATCTAATAGAAAAACGTGGATATTTAGGATTAATAATGGTAGTTTCAATGTCTATTGTTTTATTTGAAGGAACTACATCCAAATGCAGTATTATGTACAAAACTTCTAATAAGGCAAATTTTAATGCAGAGCTTCTTTTTTTGTTTGTTTGTTTTGTTTTCTTTTTGTTCCACATGAAGGATTTTTAGTAATTTGCAGGTTTTCTGCATTCATACATGCTTTCTACAGCAGAAACAAGGTGTTCCAAGGACACTTTCACCATAGACAATGTTCGACCTTTCACTATGTTTAGGGAGCAGTGTACTACATTTGCATTGGTAGAGAACTCATAAATTCAGCTAATAGTTGGCGTAGAAAATATTCAGAAGCTTGCTGAAGTTGCCCACATTCTTCATGACTTTACCCAATAGTATGTTCCTGTATTCATGCAATTTGTGCAGTTCACATAAAAAAATGCACCAGTCATGGAGTTTTGACTCATTACCTCATCTTTACCTTTCAAGGAACTAAACTGTTTCTTGCAAGCTGGCTCAGCAAGGAAAAATTGAAATACTAACCAGAAATGTGTACTCTTCTTTTTTACAAAAACTAAGAAAACCAGCCTTGAAAAAGAGAAATAGCCAGGAAAAATGCATAGAATTGGGGAACAAGACACTTAATTAATCTCCCCATTTAAACATACACTATGCCCGTTTGCTTCAGTAATTGACCTAATTCACGTGGGAAAAATCAACAACTGGAGAGAAAGGAACCCAAATTTCATGTGTCCTTTTTACATAGGCCATTCAAATGAAGGCTTTGAAAACACAAGAGCTTGTCCCCAAAGCACTTAGTGCCAACTGAAGCTTACGATGGAATCGGCATTTTTGAAACAGGTTCTTGTCTGAAGCAAGGAATCTTCTCCAGCTAAGACAGTCCAGGCACAGCAAAACCACACAAGTGTGCACTGCAGGGGGATTTCGAGCAGTTTACACACTGGTATTAGTCTATTTATAGGTCTCATCCCTTGGTCTGAGCCCTAAAGGATTGTGGATCTGAGCCAAGCCACCCCTCAGCCCTAGAGGATCTTCAGCACATCCCTGCACCAACAACAAAAGCAGGCTTGAAAGGAAATAAATAAATCTGTGGGGAGTTCTCCACAGTGATTTGTATTGCCATCACATCGGAGACACAAATAAGTTTTAATCAGCCTCAGTCCGTATAGGCAGGATATTATATAGTGAAAATATAATTAGTAATATTCATAACACTACAACAATCCCATGTCTGTGGCTTAATCTGAGAACTCCTTCTTAGCAAGAGCACAAGAAAATGCTCCTTCGCTTGCTGAACAACTATGGAAGTAGCTGAGCTGAGCTTTCCCACTTAACAAACTTGGTCATATTCCATTAGCTCTCCTTATCATCACAACTTGTTTGTCTAAATACTACAAGGAAATAAATGTCTGCAGTTTCATTTCAGTTCTTCACTATAATGTCCATAAATAACAGCGGGGAAAAAATATTGGAGTCAGGGTGAATTTGACCCATATTAAAAAGTCTTAGGGTACAAAATCCACGAGCTTATTTGCTGCATGCTCTGAAAAAAAAAGCTCTGGAATGGTTAAAAAAACAAACAAACAAAACAACAACAGAAACAAACAAAAAAAAGTAAGAAAACTAGGAGAGGGCAAATACAAAGCTTGCTTTAAAAAGCTAGGACTGAGCAAACTATGGGAAATTATGGAGTTACAGGAAAACTAGTTAAATTTAAATTTGCAGAAAAATAGCAAATAATTAAGCTTTGTACCTAAAATGTATCAAGAAGATGAATTAGACTCAATATGGAAGTGTCAAAAAAAGTCATGCAAAAAGCATCTCAAGTCCTCTTTTGACAATGTAAAGAGTCTTATGGAGAGAAGAAAACCATACAATAACTTTGAAAGCCATTAGACACAATTTTCCATTATTTTTCCCATGCAAATTTTGTAAAAAAAACTCGAACTTCTATGAGAATAATGCTTAAGTTATGAGAAAACTAACCAAGCTGTAACTGTCAATTATTTCTCCAAATGAGAAATATGTATTAACAGGCTGTATTGGATGTGTTCTCTATCCAATATTTTTCATTAGTTTTATTAACAATTGGATGGTAGAATGCAGCATTTACTGGCAGATTAATTAAGAATGAAGGGACAGAAAGCACATCAGAGGAAAATATTAAATTCAAAATTAAATTGACACAGTGAAGAAAGGTTCCTGTCTTAAGAAGATCCCATAAGACAGGAATATTAATCACTACCCATACAAATACAAAATGAGGAAAAACAAGTTAGGTTGAAGTTCTTGGGCAAAAACTATACATGTTGGAATATTTCACAAGTGGAACATGGCATTAGCACACTAAATGGAAGAATGCTAGTATTTCAGACAATGCCAAAGATGAAAGGCTAAACCAGAGTCAAGAAGAAAACCTTTTCTGTTGTTAGTTGCAAAGAAAGAATATTTTGCCCTTCTCTGAGAACAGAGACTATATTTGTACAAATTCCTCACCATGTAAGCACTTTTTCTTCTATTTCTGTCCCATCTCAACATCACTTCAGTCTCCTTGCTTCAAACTTCCATCAGAGGTCACTAGAACTGGACTGTATTATGGGTTATATCTTGAATACATCTAGTTTTATAAATGCTTCCTACCTTACTATTAAGGCTATGTGTTCATGCTCAAGATTTCCAAAATAGATTTAACTCCCTTTTCTCTTTGGCAGTCAGTCACTCAAAAAATATGTAGCATCAATCAAAAAAAAAATTCTTCCTATTTCCTTGTTAAGTTTTTGTGAAAAATGAACTTAGCCTTGCACTGAATACAGAAAGACTGGAACACAAGAACTGATTCACAGAATGTATGGAATTTAAATCTTTCCCAACAGTTATATTTAATTTAGTACTGTTACACTCAAATAGAGTCATGAAGCAAGATAAATTTGACAAAGAAGGTCAAATAGAAAAAAAAATTTAAAAGTAAAACAAAAAATTCCAACAAAAAACAAAACATCAAAACCCTCAACCTATCTAAAATGTTTTTAATGACTGCAAAAGATATTTCCTTTTGTATAATGTTTCTGGTTTTTTAAGGGCTCGTCTCAGCAAGGAAGTCTCACCTTTCTTCTGCATCTTAATAGGACATGCTTTCACCACAGCTGAGTACAAAAGTCATACACAGAGATTCAACAGTGATACAGGTTTTGGAAAGAATAAAGTCTCAGCATGACAGCTCCAGCACCAGATGGGGAGAAGAACAGAAGAAAAGAAAAAACAGCAAAAACAAAAACCAACCCAAACAAACAAACAAAACTAAACTAAAACAAAAAACCCACAAAACATGAGAGTGACAAGACACGAGGCAATGTGGCTACTGCACACCAAGCCTGAGACTTCCCGTTTCTCCAGTGTGTCTGACAGTACTCTGTAAGAGAGAGTACTGTGCATGGTACAAGGAGCATCATGCTTGAACAATACAAAAGGACATGATAGTAAGAACCAGATATTACATTTAAATTTAAACTGACAGCTGAGTGACTGGTTTTTGTTGGGGTTTTTTTATTATTATTTGTAGATTTTCTGGGTCATATGTTGGTGACTATCTCTATACTTGCCCAAAAGTTTTAATGTTGTGAATGAACATAATTAACACCAAAGATAAAAAAATTGGTAAGTAAAGATGGCTTGCTTTGGGTTGGCCAAAACCAAATTTTCAATGGTATTTCTTTCCAACACATAAAACCATAAGATTTCAAAATATTGCTTCATATTCTGGATCTGAGGAGAGCTATGCAAGAAAGAAATAAAATGCATTTTCACAGAAACTAATTAATAAGAATCAAAGCTACACTGGTCTGAAGTTCCACCAGAACAGTAAGTGCAGAGGAAATCTGACAGAGAAACACACTGCAGCATATGAATAAATCATCTACTCCTCATCAGGGTATTGAATCCAATACAACTGAGAGTCAACTTAGATTGCATATAAAGCCAGCTCTCAGAGGTATTTGATGATAAGTTTTTCTAGACAGCAACAGCTCCAATCAATTGTGTGATGTACAAACATCCCTGGGAAAATGATCAAATGAGTGAGTGAAAATTTATTTGCAAAAACAAACAAACAAAAATAAAAAAACCAAACAACCCAAAATCCTAATTACTGAAAAAACTCTTACCGTTGGCAGGTATACATATCCTATCAACCTGTGTAAGGAAACAGTACAACAGAAGTGCATAAAATTAAAGCACAGGCCAGCGTACATTTTGCTTTATCTAGATATTCATAATATACTTGCTACAGTACGCAGTTATAATACCAATTTTTCTTGATGACAGAATCTCTAAGACAAGAACTATATTCATACATTTCTGCAGGACTAATTTAAATGTCTACAAAAAGGCTGAAACATCATCATGCTTGAGCACACTAGCTGAAGTTTTAAGACTCTTCCAATTAAGCTCCAGTAATACAAAACAGAAGCAAGAATAAAATCTCTCAGGCACTACAGAATTCCTACTTAAACTTTGCAGTTGCATTTTGAAGGAATTTTTAACAACACCATGCACGATGTGCTTTCTTTTTCCCCATTCACTTCCCAACATTTGCCAGTATTTTTAAAGATGGGACCCTGAAACTATTCCTGGAGCTCTTGGCAATGCAGGCAGATACACATCCTTTTGCATGGAAAAAACAAACACCCATTTTATTATAGCTTTTGCTTTCTGTATGGATGAGTTCTAAGTTTGGAAGAGTGGGCTTCTGATGAAGAGGTAATTCAAAGATGAATTGCATTTGATCATTTCAAAAATAACTGTTAAGAAACCTTTCTCTTAGGCATTGATCCTAATTTTTCCACTTCAACTCTTTCTAACTCACAGAGAGAGTGATCCAATGGTCCTTAATGGGAAATGTACAAATCTACCACTGATCTGGTAACTTAAAAGGGTCCCATCACTTGTTTCATTCAGCATCATTCATATAAACACAACGAAAACACAGTGTTCTTGAAGTGACTTACAGGCTGAAAGCTCAACCTCTGACAGCTAGACAGCTCCCTCATTTTTTTTTCTCTTTTCAGTTAGAACAACTTCAGTATTTTTATCCATGTTGTTACTATTCACTGAGCTATATTTAAAGGAACCTGGAGATGCTGATATTTGTCAGGATTTAAATTTCCATATATACTCCATAAGAAAGTTTCCAAAACTATCCCTCAAAATCTCCACATATCAAAGTTATGGTATCATAAGGTACTAAAATTTAAGTGTAAGAAAAGTGGCCACAAATGAACAAAGGAAATTGAGAAGAGAAGGCTTAGGGGAGTCTCATCAATCTCTATTAATACCTGACTGGGGTGAGGTTGAGGAAGCCTTACAAACTCAGGTATCCTGTGAGCCGCAGAACAAATTTCAGGTATGTTTGATATTCAGAAGCTAAAACTGATATAACTGAAAACCATATTGATTTAAATAATATGAAATAATTTCAAAATTATTTTGACTCTGCTCCTATTCTGGTTTTACGAAGGACTTAGCACAGAGAAATGACTCCCATTAAAGACAATTACGGAATAAAGTATTTTGGAAATGGATTAAAATGTACTTTGAATCCTGCTTTTAGAACTGGTTCATTTTACTAAATCACATTACTGTGTAGAAGACACAAGGAATACATAAAGCATTTCTATTAAAGCTGGGTACAGTAATTACAGGTATCCCAGCCATTTACAAGAATCCATTTGCAATTACATTTTCACCAGCAAATTCAGTAGATTTAAGGCAGACAGATGATCTACAATGAAAATTATAAACATCCATGAACAGAATTCCCATCAAAATATTTCTCTGAGAAGCTAGATCAGTTTAAATTAAAATGCCTAAAAATATTCTCTTCAGATTAAATGAACAAAGTAAAAAGCATTCACTTAAAATACTTCACTTAGCTATTTGTACTTTATATTTGTCTTCTTATAGAAAACCTAATATTGAACAGATTTTGTTGACTAAAACATTGGTTTGCAGCCAAAAAAAATTACTACACGAAATCTATAATTTTTTTTTTTTTTTTTTACGAACTTTCAGCACATTTGTTCCTTTTTATCAAAACGATATGATGCTTCACATGTACTCAGGTTCTCAGCTCGCAAGTGTTAGACTATGCTAAGTACTGCAATTTTCTCATTAGAAGAATGTTAACGACCACTGTCACTCTCCATTTCAATGCAAGCTGGAATCGTAGAATATCCAGGGTTAAAAGGGACCCATCACAACCATGAAGTCTAACTCCTTGATCCTCACAGGACTGCCTAAAACTAAACCATATAATTAGCATATGCTTGAACTCTGACAGGTTTGAAGGCATGACCAGTTCCCTGGGGACTCCATTCCAGGGAACTCTGGGTGAAGGGCTTTTACCTAATGTACAACATGAACCTGTCTCAGCACTGCTTCACTCCATTTCCTCTTATCCTAAAAAATAAATTAGTATCCATACATCTTTTATGTATCTTCAACCAAAAGAATGAGTAAAGAAAAAAAAGGATAAATTACTTATGAATTCCCTGAGGTCTAAAAGTCTAAGCATTATACACAAAGATACAAGAAAAATCATTGTCTTCTGAGTTTGGATCAGTTGGAGGTTTCTGGGGGTTTTTTATTTAAAAAAGAAAAAAACAAATCCCATCAGTGTGGTAGACAAATGTCCCAAGATATGCAAGAGATTCACCCAATACCATGTTCATGATACACTGTTCTAATATTATGTTAGTGCAAAAATAAACCAACTAAATTCTAACAAGGTGCAATTAATATATCCAAGAACCAGGCTCAGTCTTTGAAGGATTAATCTATGTAATTATTTATGAACATTTCTTCAGAGCCTGGGCGGGTGTGGGGAGAAGTACAGCCAGATGGCCACAACATCAGATAGCAAGAACAGAACATGTTAGGCATTTACTCTTCCTCTGGTCAACAACTCAGGATTCCTATCTTAAAACATATCAGGAGATACTCTGAATGGAAACATTCTCAAAATACACACATATTGGCAAGTCAGGAGAGTAATTTGAAAGATTATCTTGTGTTGGGAACAAGATATTTTTGTGATAAACTACTATAGTTCAGAATGCAATCAATGAAAACATCTAAATATAAGTCTAGTAAATCAAAGTGAATCATATCCAACCTTCTGAGATCATGAGGGAAAAATCATTAAAGTTTTATTTTAAATAAAGTCTCAAAAAACCTGCTGCCTAGAGATTTATTTGAATTGAGTGAATTCCCAGTAGATTGTTTTGCTGAAAAAAAATCTGCACATTCAGAAGAATACCTGAAAGTAAGCTTATAATAGTAAAGAGAATGATGCATTGCAAAATAAAAGTAATTTCCATTTCCATTTATTGTTAATGAGAAATATACAGCTGTATTTGAAAGCGCATCCTTGCTAAATCAATTACATCCCACTTGCATGCCACTTGAGTGATACAAGCAGTAAAGCACATCTCCAAGTACAATACTGACTTAGAGAACAAACTGAAGAGCCAACTGTATTATCTCACAACTGTAACCATTCCAGGCCAGTTGAATAGTACTTACTCTCTTTCTCCTAAAAGGTGTCGCCAGACTGTGGGCAAGATAAAAAAGATCCGGTTTATTTTAGCATCTTCATTGTTATTTGTCTAACCAAAACAACCACTTACTCAATTTAGTTGAATTTTCAAGGCAATTTTGAAATCCCTTTCATGCCTGACCAGAAAGCTGTATCCAGTTCTCCTCTCCACATATCATTGCCAAGTGTGGTCATGCAGCAGCCACAAATTACCATTTAGAGGGAAAAGCAACACCACCAGAACGGAAGAGCAGGAACAGATAAATATTACTCTCACACACAACACAACCTCATGCTTCGTTTGTCTTATTTTAAGAATAAAGCTACATAAATTGATGCATTTTTCAATTTAACCCTTCCCTTCCTTTTCCTAATCCTATTTCAAATAATCATTAATTCCAAGATTTAGAATGACTATAGCATCCTTCAGTGGTCAACAACCACAAAGCTGGCAGGAAGCAGAGACAGCACGGCTGCTTCAAAGGCACCTCCCTGGATCAGTCTCCTTTAAAATATGTCTCTGTGTTTTCATCATCATTTGCCAATAAAGGCCAATTCTTGCAAAAGAATACTCACTCCCTTCATAAACAGACACTATTTATTTAACTAAAAGAACAACAAAAATTAAAAACAAAACCATAGGCACTCAACATATTCCTTCACAGCACAGCATTTGAATTCATAGTGCAGGGATCATGCAGATGATAAGAGGTCAAGAAAAGGAGTTTATATACATAAAAATTTATGGTTTAACCTGTAGAGTGTTTCTGTGCCCCAAATTTCCTTCTGTTGTCTAAGACATGCAAAGTTCATTCTAAACAAAGGAATTTTCTAAGGTAGCTAGTATTACGTTCATTTCAGAAAGGATAGTACAAAAATCTTTTTAAATAAATTATTCTTTTTAACTTCACTGTATGGATATCTGCTTCCCCAGTACTCAGTTGAAAGTTTTAATCAGTACAAGATTCAGGTCTACAATATGAGCTGGAGGACAATTCAGCACATAAATACAGAGAATCTTCATAAACACCATGAATCTGGTTTGTCAGTTTTTACTAAGTAAGGTACAGAAATCTATCAAAAATTTAAAATGCCTGATAAAAGGCTTTACACCCACTTAAGCCTCTCTCTCCCCATATCAGCTGCTGGGTAATACCTTAGAAACACATAAAAAGGTTCAATTCAAACAGGAATGTTACTTCTGAAACTTTCAGCAAAGGCATTTTGGGCTTTCATCTCCCTCTATCAAAACTGGCCAATATCATTCTTGTATAAATACATTAAATGGAAAATATGAAAATGTAAAACCCAAATTTACGGAATATCCAATATTTATCTGACATAAATGTAAAAATCTGAATCATATTCCTGCTACTCACTTCCACAGGAACTTCAAGGTAAACAAATCTTCAGAGGCACAGTAAGTACAAATGACATAAGGTACAAAGAAGAGAGATAAAAAAAAAATTAATGTAACCTTTAATACTATATTAAAAAATTACTTTTACATTAGCCAAGAAGAAAAGTGGAATAACTAAATTATTTTCTTTTCCACCCTTGTATGATAAGCAGAATCCTAATTATGTATCTCTGGAGTAATCAATGCCACCTGGAATTTACAGAACCTGTGATTACAATTGCCAAACAAGAATTTGAAGAAAGATAAAATCAAGAAATTGGGGAAATTATGGGCTTAGAAATACTGCATTAATGTTGACCTGTTTACATTAAATAATGAACTTGAATTCAAGACCTTTCTGAAGAAAGATGTTATGAGTCGGTTGGGTGGCTATCTTTGCTGATTCTATACACTGTACATCAGAACTTGAGCATATCTGTGAAAATGAAAACAAATACTGCAACCTCAAATGAGCCAGAAAAGAGAAAATTCCAGAAGAAGGCAGTAGACAGCACTGATTTTCCAGAAACTTCCTTCTCTACACCGTGGGACAGGCTATGCACTCAAGTTCAATGTCAACGTGTCAGATGGTTGGGCTCAGGAAGCCCTATGGGCCCTCTTTCCTCACACAGGGATCCATGGACAAGACCCCTTCCTATGCCAGATCTCCTCTGAGTGAGGTGACAGCCCCAGCAGCCTCCTCAGTTACTGTTTTTGCAATCCATGCCATGATATCCTAAAGAAATCTTTTCTGACGTGTGCATTTCCAAATATTAGCTCCTCACAACTAAAAAAAGGCAAACTCATGAATTATCCAAATTAACCATACCAAATTATATATAACTCTCAACAGATCTAACTAAACAAGAATTCTCAGGTAAGAGTTTTGATGAAGTTAATGCAGATGGAAATGTGATTACTACATGATCACTTTTCTATATTCTAAATTAACAGCAACTCATCACAAAAAAATCCTGAAGAGAAATTTCTGGAAATTAGAATACCTACCTTATGCTAAACCTGAAATCTAAAGATAATTTTCATACATGATTTGTAAATGAGAGTCTTCTTTTATTTTAATTAGTAATTTCATCATAATCTTACTAATTTTACAAAGGTACAATGAGGACAAAAAAATTATATTTACCTCTGAACTGAGTACCTTCTTGCAAAGCTGGCAGAAAACCATAGCCACATTTGTCTTTTGCTACAGGTCCAACCATAATGTACTTGGAACATGGCATAAGAGCTCATTATTGCTGTGATTATAGGCTTAAAAATTAAATATATTTCTGATTTCAGTACAGAAAAACTCCTCAAACAATTATTTCCTACAATCAGCTTGTCTGTTCAGTCAATAAGCTGAATATCCAATTCAGTCGCATTACATTTTTGACATATTTAAAATGTCATTACCTGAGAATGTCTATTTATTTTAAATGCACTTGTGTCATACACAACAAATTTGACACACAAATTTGAAGTCTACCTTATGAAGACAGGAGGTGAAAAGGGTATTTAACTTTTAGCTGCTTTGTGCTACAGCATTAGATAGACATGTTTGCAGAGCTACTCTGTGGGATTTGCTGCAGCTTGAAAAAGGGGATTACCCAACTGCTCTTTCCAATTTATGTGAAAAACATTCAGTTGCACATCAATGTCCATCAGCATGATAAATCTTTGTCTCTGGCACACAGAAGGCCAATTCATGATTGAAACTGACACAGAGAACTACTTTAATCAACTAATAATCACTCAACATTACCTCCAGGAAAATCCCTCTAGCTCTAGTATTTAGATTAAGTGTCAAGGCTCAATCTGAACATATTATGAAGAAGGCAGATTCTCTTAAAACAAATCTCTGTTAAGTTGATAAGAGTTAATGCATCTGGCAGCTCCTCAGCAGATGGCAGGTTTAGGTACAGAATGCTGATGACACTGGAGCTTTGTGTTACCAACAGAAACCATTAAGGTGGAAGAACTTTCTACTAAGTCTCTTCTGTAAATTATTAAAATAAAATTACTCTTAGGATAAAATGTCTTAGCTCAACAATTAATTTACTTGATGAAGCATCTTTTGTTTGTTTCTGACATATGTGAAATACATATGTCACCTGTGCATTAGATTATTTTTCAATCTATGCACACTGATTGCTCCAAATACACACTGTGAAACAAGAAGCAAGGTTGGATATTAGGGAAAAAAGATTTTTATGGAAAGAGTGACAACCTACTGGAATTGTCTACCCAGCGAGGTAGAGTCACCATCCGGGATGTGTTTAAAAAAAGACTGGAGGTGGCACTAGATGCCATGGTTTAGTTGAGATGTTGGGGGACGGGTTGGACTCAATGATCTTGAAGGTATCTTCCAGCCTAGTGATTCTGTGATATGGTTTTTGCTAGATCTCAGCGAGGCTAAATGGTTAAATACCAGACCAATTAGCAAAACATATGATTAATTTAGTAAAGTTTCACTTCAAGTACATAAATACAAGCTTACAGCATTTATAGATATTAAAAAAAAAAAAAAAAAGGAAAAAGAACAGTGAAAATTGCCTTGTTTAAACAGAAAAAAAAAAAAAATCTTTGCTTGCTGATCTGCAAAGAAGCCTGTGGAGATGCCAAGTTGAAGGCGAAGAGAAGCCTAAATACTGCAGAGTGTAGGGCTAAACTATACAGCTGACAGCAGGCTTGTGGCTATCCACTGTAATAATTCCTTTGTCGACATCTTCTGACTGCCTGACAATCCTGCCCTTTGCCACTGGCTAAAATACTTGCTAATAATGGCACTAAAGAATTTTTTGTCTTGTAGGGCGTGACCTTAAAATAACATTCTTATTACAGAGCCACACTCTGTCCTTTGCCGATTAGAAGGATACTTATTTAAGAAATAAAGCAAGCAAAACTTCCAAGACTGATAATAAACCATCTTTCTTAAACCAAATACATTTTTTTGCTTTATGGTACAGAAGTCAGTAAAAGCACGCATTACACTTACACATTAACAAAAGAAGCTGCTGTTCCTGCAGTCACTCGCTTTGCTCTGATTAAATTAAATTTCCAAAGAGTTCACATTGTTCTGAGAATAAGTTTTGGATATGCCAATACCTATCTTCCCCAATCTGTTGTTTTCTCTCAAGCAAGATATAGATCTAAACTCTTATTCCAAAATTTTATCATGACTCTGGCTGAAAATAATTCCAACAGAGCTTTTCTCAGGAAAATATTCATACCTCCTGCCAACTCAGATAATCTGGCATAACTGTTCATTTAGATTCAACTAAATTAAATCTAGAGCATTTGCATGTTGTGTTAATTGATCTCACCTAAGAAAATAATGTCACTGTGCCAGCAGAAATCCCGTTACTGGAACATGTTGAAACAGCCCAACACTGTAGAGCTGCAAAATACCTATAGCAGAGATATTTTATAATGTCAAATCAAAACATGCTTTGGCAGTAAAAAACCAAAAATTCTGCTTGGCCTGCATTAAGGTCTGATGACAGACCTTCCTTTGGCCAAAACTTCTGCACAATTTCAGTCCCTGATGCTGTCGTAATTTGAGTTAAAATCATGTTTGAAGAAAGAGATATTTCAGGCTTTTCCCGCTGTATTTGTTTCACTGACATTAAACTACTGCAGAGGAAATTATACCATGATTACAAACTTAGTAAAATCCAACGCCATATCTAAGAAAGGCAGTGATTCAACCAGAGAAGCAATATTGTGTTTTTAACAAGACACAAGGGCTTACTGAAGGTAACAGCTCACATGAGAAAAGGGACAAGTTATGACCATTGTGGGAATCATTATTCCGAATTTATTCACTCTATGTGTATAAATTTCAGCAATAATGTCACATTAATGTAGTTATTCAAACTTAACACTCATGTTCATTAAAAAAAAAAAGTCACCACAATGATAAACCAGTCTCTGAGTTACACCACGGTTAAGCAAATGTCAAGCAGCAGGAGAAATTTAAGTTACACAATATCACAGATGTGCTCTATAAGCAATTTTTTATTTTGCTTTGTACCATGAAAAAAGCCTCTTGGGAAGGAATCAGTAGGTCCTTTTTATAGCAGAGATGATTTCTATATGCATAGCTCAAGGCACTCAGCAGAAACCTATAAATAACTAAAACACAGAACAGGACCCACTGTCAATTTTTATCTTAAAATACAACTTAAATATTTTTATTTTTAAAAAACTTGCAATGCTGTTTTTGCAGATAAACTGCTTCAATAAGTCATGCAGGATCCAAATACTTTCCATGGGCAAAATACAGAATACCTCCATGTCCTTTTATTATCACTGGAAGGTGACTGGGAGATTGTGTCTTTTGCACAATCTGCTGGGTTAACTTCTTAACAAATAGTCCTTGCAGCAGAGCTTTGCAAAGAGAACAGTTTCAACAATGCCATGAGATCTGTTATTCACATCTGGATATTAGCAACATTGTCAAAATTATTTTCAGAGTATCCCCTTTAAAAAAACTCCTTTAGACATTTAGAGTTTCCTTGCTCAATGCCTCTATGACTTTGCTGGAGGAAACAAAGCCTTTCTTTTTCCCAGTAACAATATGAGTGCAATTGAAGAGATTTCTTTGTATCTAGTGACAGAGCATGCCAGAAAAAGGGGAAGAAAAATGGCACTATTAAACTCCTTCACCAAGTGTTACTTAAAAGCAGGGATTATACAAATGGAATATATGGGAGCACTTGTGTTCTTAAAAAATATATATACTCTAAAAATATATACTCTTTATAATGTATTTTCTTTGCACCATTACAACATTTATAGTTTTTACTTTAATATACATATACACAGAAACTTAAACCACAAAACGTTGCAAAAATGCCATAAAGCTCAAAACAGTTTTCTGCATATTTTCATGAGTAGCAAAAATCTATCACTGTTACAAGCACAGAATTTGGGAAACCATTTTCCTATCCCAGCATACTACTTTAAACTGAATTACAGTAAATAAAAGCTTTAGGTATCTTTAGATATGTATAGACATAAATACTTCAGTAAGTATTATTTTAAAATAAAATATATTTTAAAATAACTTTCTTCTACCTGCTAATCTGCTGGCAGACCCCGAGTACAAGAGATAACCCAAGTCACCTAGGATGTCTACAAGGACAAAAGATGCAAGAGTTTCAAAATGGAACAAGTATATAGCATGAATGCCTAGAATATCCTCAGACTCCAACAGTTTGAGGAGTTTAAAATCAGATTTCCTTTGGAGACTGTTTGCATCATTGTTTTTGAGGGGGCAGGTGGGTTTTGTTTTTATTTTAAAATAGTGCTTCAGAAATTTCTTTTCTTTTAAATTCGCCAATCATAATTTAGATCCATGTCAACTTTTATTTGGAGCTTCCTGCAGCAATTTCAGTTTATGCACTAAACTCTTGTTCTTTTCTTGGATGAGACAGTGAAAATTTCTTCCCTATTAATTTTCTCCATGCCACTTCTGATTTTATAGGGTTCTAAAATAAGCTCCCTTTTTCAGGATAAAGAGTTACAGCAAATTTAGACCCTCTTTGGACAGAAGTCATTGCTTGCCCTTGATCATACTTGCTGCTCTTTATAGAACCCACTCCAACTCTACTTCATGTTTCTTGAGAGATGGAGATGAGATTCAAATAGTGAACACACAAACACACCATGGAATCATTCCATGTCACCATGATGCTCTGCTTTCTACTTCTTCCTAAAAATTCCTAACCTTGTATTGGATTTTTTAGAAAACAGAGCTGGGCAGTCAGATCCTAAATGACAAGATACTTTGTAAACTCTAGGGAATGAACCTTCTGGAAGAAAATCTGACAGCTTGGCACTTTCTTATGGACGGATCAAATACTGCCTTTTTTTCATCCATGTAAAAAATCTTGATTTAATTTGATAAATATAAAACATGATCTTCAAGACATACATTATTTCTTTTTATTGGCAGAGTTGCATGGGATAATGCAGTTAGTACACCTAATTAACTGGTTTTGTACAAAGACACAAAGATAATACAAGAATATCCCAAAGATATTTTCTTGAAAAGTACAATGGTTAATGATTCCATAAGAAAACAAAAATTTTTTTTCTGCAAAAATTGAAGGGAGGTGGTGGGCATTTGCAGACAGACATTCAGAAAATGCATGCAGTTAAAATATACTGGGACAATGCATTGCAACATAAACCTATTTCTCACTCACATCCCAATGACACTAAATAAATATGCAATGTCCTGGCAGCATGAATGTAAGACTGAAAGGGTGATGCTGCATGGCTGTCAGTAAAGAACTTCCATGCACCACTTGTGTCAGTGATACATAAATAATATATTACTGAAATACTAAAAATATTGCACTGTAGCTTACTGTATCTGTGTATTCTCAACAGTTAAATTAATACTATATAGCAGGATGTTTTCAGGAGAAGGATGAAGAATAGAAAAACAGAATAAGGATGAGAGCAGAGCCAGGTTTTAACTTCAAGAGCACTTCAAAACAATGGGTAGGCAACCAAGGGACTCCAAGATAGTACCAGGCCACATAGGAATCCAAAAGTACTATGTTTCTATAATCAATATAGACTCAGCTCTACGATATGGACAGTAAAACCTATTTCCTAAAATAAATTTTATTACTACACTTATCAAGCAATTCTCATCACTGCTATCCTTCTCCAAATTTCCAGCATCATTCTCAATTCTAGTTTTAATTCATAGAATTAAAATATTTATACTTAATAAATAAACATAAAGAGAAAATACTGTCTCACTTTACATCTGATTTAATATTTTTCCTCAATGTAGCACTGAAAAAGATAAAAATATATTGAATAGGGGAAAAGGGAAAGTAGGTTATATTGTAATACCAAAAAGAGGGAAAAAAATAGGTATGTCATTCTGTTAGCTGCCCAAGCAAAAGGTAGGTCTCAAGATGAAAAGACCTGAATAGTAACCATCTGATTAATTTCAAAAACATTTCTCTGCTATTTGATAGAATGTTAAAAAAAATATTAAAAGTCTACCTTGAATTTTAGGTATAGACTTAAGTATTTATTATATTTATAAATTTCAGAAGTATTTCAATAATTTCGGAAGATATTTTAGATATGAGAGAGAGAGAGAGCTATAAAAAATTCTGGAATTGCTGTCAAAAGGTATCACTGCGTATGTACATAGGCCAAGGCTTTGAGCAGGGTTCGTCTTCAGGAACTACTATTCTACAAGAAAAAAAAAAATCAGAACAGCTCAAAAAATGAAAGTCAAAACCAAATAAAAACTATTTCTCTTCTGAAAAGGTGGGAAACCTCAAAAGTCCTGTATGAACATTTGCAAGACTGGATTTACAAGACACAGGAAGGTATGGAATTTTACAATAAGTTAGCAATAATAGTAATAATAATAAAAATTGAGCAGACAATTTTCAAGACAAGCAACCACTAGAGTGCCTATATGGCTAAGACCATTTTACTGAACTTGAACCTTAGTCTCCTTACTCTCCAGATTGAGCCAAGAGTCAGAAGGTAGTAGAAACTAGGATTATAGTTCTCCCTATTTATCCCTCTTTACTGTGAGAGTATTTTTTTTCACACACCTATAAATAAATGTTTATTGGCTGAATTTCTAACTACAAATTGACATTTCAGAAATCTTGCCATTATTTTCCCCTTAATTCTATTCCATAACCATGAAAATGAATTAATGGATATTTCCCCAAACATATTACAAGAAAAAAAAAAATTTGATTTGCCTCATTTTATTAAAAAATATGTAGCCTACAATTATTATCTTCAGACTAACTGCGGTTATGACATAGTCTTCAGTTTCTCTTCATTTTCCCAGAATTATCACTTATGATGTTTTTTTTTTTTCAAATGCATTTTTTTTTCTCCATATGCATTTTTTTCTCTTGCTACTGTGATGCATAAGGATATTCCATCTAGCACTGAGGGGAAAAAGAAATCACTGATTTTCTCCACCACTCTTACCTAACATTCTCCACTTTCTTTTCATAGCACACCCTGCACTTTTTTTTTTTCTTTTCTTTTTTTTTTTTTTTAATGCAGAGCTCTTTTTAATGAACTTGTACTTACTTACCTTCATTTCTTTCAACATAAGTTAATTTTTTGAGTTAAAAATCAAGGCACTTCAGGCTTTATTATTAACTGCAAAATTCTGCCACAGAAATAAAATACATATCTACCCTAAAACAGCCATTTAAATAACACACATAATCAGCTTGCCCAAAGCATAACTTGATTAGCAATGGCTTGTCACTTTCACCATGGGTGCTCACTAAATTTGGGATTTGCTGAGAACACAGAGTTCAAAAACAGCAGATTCTTCATCAGGCACATAAAATTCACTTATATTTTTACTTTTATAAAACTTAAAACTAATAATCTGACATTTAAGTTATTTGTCTAGAAGACCCAAATCAGAATAGAAGACAAAATTTATGAAGTGCTGTTCATGAACAGCACTACAGGCTAGACATGATGCAGAAATCTAATTATGTGAATATATACATGCCTATAAAAATAATTCAGTTTTGCCAAAGTCTCTTAAAACAGCTAAATTAAAAATTTTAAGTACAGAAAAGAACATCATGGAGATGAATAGGGAAACAGTGATAGCAGGTCTAGGCAGTCATATATAGGAACAGAAACAATTGGAAATGCTGTCATAAAACTTAACTAAAGAAAGGGAGAAAAAAAAACCAAAAACAATAAAAAATTAAACCCAAACAAACCCTGAACATTTGCAAATGCCAGGAAAAGCAGGAAAGTCAAAGCCCATTTAATAAAGTCAATCAAAATGAAATTTGGGGATAACTAAAGGGAGTTATTTAATGAAATTACCAAGAAATCTCAGGAAGAATCCCAAAGGCATCTTGATGAAATGTATTTAAAAATGATTGAAATCTCAGCTGCCCAGAGATGGTGTTGGAGCCAGAAACAGCTGAAATATCAAGAGAGAGTAAATCTTTACCACAATAACCTTGCTTCAAATCATAATTCGAGAACACTCACAGCCTTCACTTTTCAGGGTGACTTGAACAGACAATAACACATTATTTGGGCAAAACTCTTCAATTTCTAAGGAGAAATGAAGAGAGTACTTTGGTACAGGTCATCTGTTAGTCTCCAGTTTACATCAGACTTCTAAAATTATCCTGAACCAATGTGCCTCAGTGGTGCACATCCAGCAATAGGCTGCAGGCAGGTACGAGAGGATGTGCCGGACCTGGGTGGCCATGGAAGTGGGGGTGGCTTTCTGCAAACCTCCAACAGCATCCTCAGCCTCTCCACAGGCTGGTAAGGCTCTCCAGAGAACATACTGCAGTGCCCAGGAAGAGAGAAGAGCCATTCAGTTATTACATGGACATAACTGGACAGATTTATTCTCATATTTCCAAGTTCTTGTCTGAACTGGAAGAGGGAACCACGCAGTCTGACACTGGGCATCACCCAGCTGAGAGAGCCCAGCTCAGCTACAGCATTGTCAGGACCATCCTGTGGGCTGCCCTGGACCCCTCTGAATCCCCTCAGCACAATCAAGCTGCATGGCCAGAAAATCACATTCCACAGGGAAAAAACACAGTAGGCAGGCCTATGCATTTTTTTTTTCTCCATTTAGAGCTAAGTAAGCAACAGTAAATCTGCCATGCAACCATGAATATATTTTCATATAAGCACAGGCAAGAAAAGAGAGCGGACAAATACCTGAGGGAGCAGAATTTTCCAATGTAGTTACTTAGAAATATGTTGACATTTTTTCTGCTGAATTTATGAGTGATACAAATTATTACAGACACTAATTACTAATTACTCTGACACCACCTAAAACCAAGTTCTGGAACTAGAAGCTTGAAGAATTCATCTTCATGTGATAGGCTGAGAGATTCGCCATGCAGTTTAAAAATGCTGTTTGATTTCACTATTCTAAAACACCAATAGCTAAATCTGGGTAGATTTGGTATGGGAAGAAAAGTTTTTAAAAAAAATAGCCCAAGTAATTTTATTCCCCTCACCTTTTAGCACTATCTTTCAAGTAACAGCAGCAGAGAAATGCAGAATGGAAGAAGCATACAAGAGGCATAAAAACTCACATTCCTATTTCCACCTGTTTCTACTATTTGGCAGCATCTATAGAATCAACAAGGTCATTTATAACATTTTCAGTAACATCTCCTTTTTGCAGTTTAGCTAAACTCCAGTACTTCAACATTTTCCTAGCAGCCAAGCCACAGAATAATAAATCCAACTGCACACAGTTTGATGACTGTAGCTCCATGCAGTGTGCCAGGCAGAGGCACTGGAGGAATTACATTCTTCAGCCAGAGAAGGCAATGGGTCACCACTTTGTGCAATATAACCACGGCCCATGGTTCAGCCTGTGATAAATGATGCCATACTTCTGAACCTCTAGGGGCAGGTCTTGGTCACTAAGTGCTTCCGAACCTCTAGGGGCAGGTCTTGGTCACTAAGTGCTTCCATACAGTTGGTCTCCAACACAGCCTAGATGCAGAGAGCTCACCAAAGCTATTGAAAAGAAATGTTTGAAAGAAAGCCACTAAAAAAAAAAAAAAACAAAACCTCTTTCTTTTTGTGATAGTTCCTTGACTTTTGGCAGAATATGATGGGTAAAATTCATGATTAGACTTGTCACTTAGATTTATTTTCAGAATTTCGTTTCTCAGGTTACCGGATGCCACTTGAGATCTCAGTAATTTTTTCCACTTCTTAGAGAAGCTTAACACCTTTGGTGCAAGTCAGCAGTAATGCTACAGCACTATTCCCTACATGTTGAAATCTAATGCACTTTGCTCTAATTATGAGGTCATTATTAGCGTGCATAAAGGCGTGTAATTGATTAGAAACAACATACTTCCTAATAAGTAATGTACTTAAGAAGCATGCCTTAGATGACAACCCAGTAACATGCCATTTTTTAAAAAAGTTTATATAGTCCAGGAATTATAGCATCTCTCAGAAAAAACACAGGTGTAAAATAGAACTCAAGGCAGCAAAATATCCAAAACAATAAATCCCAAGTATTTTGTTCAATAAAATATTAAATCATATATGTATAGATTATCCATCATAAGGAGCAACCACTTTCATATCTTCCTGGCTTTTGCTAAAGATGAAGCCGAATTATTTCAGTCCTGCGATTGCACAACATCAGCAAATCAACACTTCCAAGTCAGTGATAACATGCAGACTCACTACAGAGAACCAAACTGGAGTGAAATTTTTCTTGTCCTTATTCTGTGGGAAGATTAGGATGTCTAAGATTTTCAGACCTCCAGTCCTCCCAGATTTTCTCTACATGCCTGCCCTGAACCCATTAAATGGAGAACAGCTCCAAGTCTTCACTCTATGCTGAGGGTCAAAACCTGACTGCAACAATCTGAGGGCAACTTAGCTTCCTTATTCCCCCAGTGTGACTCTCTTGAAAAGCACTTCAATCCCAGGCTTGCCAATTAAGAGAAATCTTCCATTGCTATAACAATACAAGTGTCTGAACTGTACTGTGCTTACACTTTCCTCTGTGCTACAATAAAATGCCATCTCTTTCCTGAACCTCCAAGGAGCTTTCTGAGGTCAGTCTGTTTGCTAGGGGGCCATCTTCAGGATGAACCCAACTGAATTTAATCATGCATATTTTTATAGCAAATGTTAATAATCTAATTACTATGAATCACAACTCAGGGCCAGATTCAAATTCTAAAATCTCCCTTATATGCCCTTCCTCAGAATGGGCCACTCCAAGTTAATACTAAAACTAAAACATTCAGATTGGCAACCCTTACAACCTCATTTGCACTCACTTGTCACTGCAAACAAAATATATTTGAATGCCACAGTGGAGTTCATTAGAAATTAGCAAATGCATATTAAAAGCTCTTCTCCCAGATATAAAATTTCCTATTAATGAAGCTCAGCTTTAAAAGTCTTAACACCTTAGTCACAGAAACATGATTTCACTTGTAAATTTTAAGCATCACCAATAAATATATTGCTTATCAAAGGAAGTGTTTGTAGTTGCTGCCATTCTTCTCATATGTTTTACATTAGATTGTCTCAGCAAGATAAAAGCATCCTCATCACTTTTCTCAATGGAAAATGCAGCAACTAAGTTGCATGTGAGGTACACAAGAACAGAAAAGATCTCTTTAAAAAAACCTCATATACACCAGAACAAAGCAACCTAGAAAACATAGGCCTTGCTTCAGATTCAAGAACTCAGCTGCAACAGGCAGTCATGTTGCAGGTGAGGAAGGAGGTGGTGGGACCTACAGCCTGCAACCATAAAGGTTGTGTTAATTCATCTCAGAAGAGCCACTATCAGTCTGATTCCAGGTTAAATATAAGATAGTTGATTTGGAGAGAAATTACCATTGGCAGCAGCTTCAGGCACAAACTCCTGCAGCTTTAGACAGGGGTGGGAAATAAAATCCCAGGCTTTCTAGCAGCTCTCTCAAGATGAACTTTACAATCAATAATAGCCCTATCTATTAGCTAATAATATCTACCTATTAGTTTGAGAGGGCCTATCAAGAACACAGCATCCTGCTGCTTCTATCCTAATCTGTAATCACTGAAACCCGAAGTATCAGAAGGAGCGGGGCAGATTTTTCCACATTCATCTTTCTTCACTGATGAAACATCTCAGCCTTTTGTTTTTAACTCTGTTCTATCTTTTAAAATAGCATAATTAATCCCCCCATTAGTCAGCCTGTGTGCTGAGGAAGGGCTGCAAGTGACTGCAGCGCTTTCAGCAGCTCTCAGCTGTGACTAGGCAGTGTCTATTCCAGTACAAGGCTCCTGTGCAGCCTCTCCAATACCAACCAGCAACCACTATTCCTAGATATTGGGGATTTCTAGATCCAAAAAACTAGGATATGAGCTTATTTGGCATCCCCAGATTTGACTTCTTCACTACTCTCAGAGGGCTAAATCTGCAGCACCAGCTAACCTAAAGGACTATGTTTCCCTCCTTTTGCAGTCCATCTGCTACATTTGTTTTAATACTCATTTTTTTCTCCTCTTCTTCTTCTTTTTTTCTGAAAGTCTCACACAAATGACAATTACTAATCATAACACACCAGATCAGGGATTTCACAGAATCTCAGAATGACTGAGGTTGGAACACATCTCTGAACATCATCTAGTCGAAATTCCCTCTCAAGCAGGGCCACATGCAACTGATTGCATGTAGTCTGTTTGAGAGGGAATTTCAACTAGATGACTTTTGAATATATTCAAAGATGGAGAATCAACAACCTTCCTGGGCAACCTCTTCTGATGCTCCATCACCTTTGCAGTGAAGAAGTGCTTCCTGATATCCAGACACAGAGCCTTCTGTGTATCAGTTTGTGCCCACTGCCTCTCGTGCTGTCACTGGGCACGTCTGAAAAGAGCCTGGCTTCACCCTTACATCCTCTGGTATTTATATACACCTGAACTTTCTCTTCTCCAGGCTGAACAGTCCCAGTTCTCATAGCCTGTCCTCATGGAGAGACACTTGTTAGCCAGAAAAATATCCCACTTTTGAGAAGGGTACCCAAAATAAGTAACCTTGTATTATCATGCTAAATACATACTGTGGCACCAATGTTTGGCAATCTGAGATACCTGCATAACAGGAGCAGCTCTGCAATTCTAGTGCAACCAATGTTGCCTTGGAGCAACCAAAGCACAAAGATGTAAAAATAAAATAAGAAAGAGAAAAGCTGTGTAAATTTGGAACATTTTCCAGTGAGGGGGGTTGTTGGGGATAAATAATATTCTTTACTCATCAGTACAGTAATTTTCAGGATTTGCCAAATTGCATACTGCTCTCCAGCATGTTTCCATTGGACATTAAGGTGGGGGCAGCACTCCCAATAGCCCAGCAAGGGACAGAGGAGGGAAGATGTTCCAGTGGAGCCAGGAGCTCCTAATAGGAGCCTCCCTTAGGAGCCTCACCGGTCACATGCAGCTCATTGAAAGATCACAGCTAAGCACAAAGACACAGACTCACATCACTGCGAATGAACAGACCTTTGCTGTATTTTACACTGAGTTCAACACAGAATCACAGAACATTCTGAGTTGGAAGGGATCAGAAGGACCACTGAATCCAACAGCTAAACAAATGGCCTGGACAGGGATCAAAACCACAATGTCGCTGTTATTAGCACTATGTTCTAACCAACTGAGCTAATCTCTGCTGCATTTTAAAGCTATGTCAAAATTGATCCACAAGGATTTGTAAGTATCAATTGATTTTTTTTTCCATTTACTGAATGGGAGGAGGAGGAATTTCACATGGCCTCTACTGCATACCTTCAATTATTTGAACATTAATAAAAGCAACCACAGGGGTTACATACCTAAGGACTCAGGAAAGTGTTTTTGTATTCATACATTCCTTTTCACATAAAAAGGTAATATCTTTGATGGAATATTGTTAAATATTGCATGCAGGAGTCCTTAATGTTTAAAACCAGTAACTTATTTAGACTTTATTTTTATTTAAAGGCTTCTGATAATTTTAACAGTCAAAATAATGTAAACAAACCATCAACTTGGAGTCATTTGCCTTCTTGTGTTCCCATATACCCTCCAAGCAAGATAATCCTCAAGGGACGAGTAGTATGCAAATTTATTTTGCAGGTTGGGATTGTGCTAAATAATTACTAACAAAAATGTATTATTTAGCTCCAGGCTATCTTGATGCATTAGAATTAAATAGCAACTATTTGCTCTTTCACTCATGGCAAGAACTACTGGGCTGATGTCAGCATAATTTTGAATGCCATTATCGCAGTCTCTGGCTCCTTAGGAGGAGCAGGCAGATTTATTTACAACCTAGTGAGTGTCTCACATTTCTTTGAGCGTGACACTATAGAAAATATCCTTCTTATTCTAGAGAACCAGGAGTATATTAGTATGATTAAAAGTTATCCTTTTATTAAGAAAGTTGCTATGACATTCCCATCTCTGGGAAAATTCATTATCACATACCATTTGAGCACCAGTAGGCAACTGCATTTATTTACTGTAAGGGAAATGCCAGAAAACAGAATACACTTTTGAGTGTTTGCCAAAGAGCCCTGTGACACATGCCCAGGTCTGGTGTTAAGGGTTGTAGGGGTTTTAATTGCCTTTTTTTTCCCCCCACCCAGAAATACCAATGAGAGCGAGTAACAAGACACTGCACAAGTGTCTGAATCCCAGCTGTTCTGCTCTTTGGAAAGATCCCAAAAGCATCAGCACTGACAGGCAGAATAGGCTAAAGAAATAAGAGGGCTGAGCCATGGGATTGTTTGTTTTTCATGGTCAGCGGCACTGCAGTGGAAAGGCCCAGGACTTGCCACACGTGCCAGCACTACTGAATCACACTGAGAATGCCCTCTCTGTGTCTTTACTTCCATGGGGAGCTGCTTGCAGCCTCAGCCATTTGGGCAGAATCTTTCCATAATATCCTACTCTCTCTCTCTCAGTATAAGTGTCACAATGTGGCCATAAATTACTAGTTTCTAAGGCTTAAACTGAGCACATATAAAGATACACAGTCCCCTGCCTCTATCTTAACCA